ATCCATTGATATGACAAATTGACAACTTCAAAAAACTTTTTTTCGAAGCTAGAAATCATGATTTTTTCAAATTTTTCCTGGGATACTTTGTTTTCTGCTCTCTAGACTCCCCCTTGCGGCTCTAGTGCTCTACCCCTAGAATATAGACCTTACTGAGGTTTGGTGACACTTTGTGTTGCTTCAGTCACCTGCTCACGGCTCACCCCCCTAAAATTTCTGGCACCACCCCAGTATAAATATGAAAATCCGTCAATGCATCTGGAGACAGGCGTCAGACAGAGTAAAATAATAAAATCGGGTGCATTGCAGTTCAGTGGGTTAAACTACCTCTTCTCACATGTGACTGAGGTGAAATTATAATCGCACAAAGTCTACATATTGCTGGAATCACAGAGAAGGCTGGTCACAGAGCCGACATCTTCTTAACATATTTCATCTCTCGTTTCTAGTCAAATGGAAGAAGTCGAGAAGTCTAAAGAAACAAGCAGCGTTAGCCAGCAAAACAATCAGAATGAAATAGTCAATGATCCACTCTTGACTGAATTTGAAACTTATAGTGGTTATGGCGAAGAATCAGACAGTGGCTCAATACACAACAATCTTCAAGTAGACAACACAGAAACAGTAGACTATCCTTTTGTAGGTACGCTGAGTTTGACTATTTACCAAGTGAGCACATACAGTATACACACAATTTAAGACCCAACCAGGAAGAGTTGCAAAAAAATGCAACACTAGGTCCTCTGGCAGGAATTGAACCTACAATTCCGGCGCACCGCTCTAACCAACTGATGGGCGGGCCACCGTTCTGTAGAGGCCAGTAGTTGAGCTCTAACCACAAATTCATGTATATGTCGATTTTCGGGTGTCCTGTTAAATACAAACAGAACTTTGTGGGAGAGTGTTCTCCTTCGAAAACTCAATCTTCTGCAGAAAAGGATAAAAGACTAAAGTGCTTGTATTGATCCCCACCTCGGATGATAGAGGGTGTGCCCAATTAGGTAAATCAGAATCTTTATGTACTATCTGCAACATGAGCGGACTTGTTGTATCGGTGAATGAACTTAAAGTTTATGTATAAATCAGCATGATTCTGTATCAGATATACAAATTCCTTCACGGTCATGATTTCTTCATGAATTATCAACACAAATTTTTTCACAGGTTCAAGCCAGAATAATGAAGAACCAACCACAACAGATTTGGAGAAAGAAGATGATATGCCTATGGATGCTGCTGGTGAAAAGGACGCCACCGGTGAGGTGGACGCCACCGGTGAGATGGACGCTACCGGTGAGATGGACGCTACCGGTGAGATGGACGCCACCGGTGAGATGGACGCCATCGGTGAAAAGGACGCTGCCGGTGAAAAGGACGCCACCAGTGAAACAGATGCCCTCGGTGAAACAGAAGCCACACATGACCAGGAACCACCCCCAGATTCCCCGCCTCATCTGCAGACTCCGAGTTCTAATGCATCAAACTCCCCGCCTGACGAAACGGCTACGAGCAGCAGCGCGGAACGCGACAGCGCGCTTCGGGTACTCAGAAGCAAGTCTGACAGCACATCACAATCAGCTAGTTCTACGAAGTCCCCCAGGGAAAACCATCGTTTGAAAAGTGCGGCAAGAAGCCTCAGAATCGACGCCAAGACAAATCGGTCCATTTTGTCGTTAAGAAAATCCCGCCAAGGCCCACTTGGAGTCAACAACGTTACCAAGAAGTCACCGAAAACACAAAACGAAAAAATCTTCCAAAAGGGTACGCCACCAAGAATGAGTCTCGGCAAGAAAGTCTTAATTCGAAACGCAGCTAAAAGCAAAGGAACCCCAAGTCCTCAGAGACAAACCACACCAAAACATTCGGGAAAAGCTGTGATATCTTCTAAAGTTAAAAAATCTACAGCTAAACATTCGCCACAGCGGAACAAGCAGTCGCTCACCAAAGTACAAAAGAAAAGTCCTGTTAATGTTAAAAGTACGAATAGCATTAAAAAAAACACTAAAGTCGTAGCGAAATCGTCGCCGAAGAAAGCCAGTCCATCGAAGGGGCGAAATGATAGTTCGGGAAGCTCTTCCAGGATTAACCAATCAAAAGCTGTATCCAACGCGAATGCAAACAAAGGTACAGCCAATCAGAAGAGATCCGAAGGAACAACAGCCAATAAGCGTCACTCGAGCGAAAACACGGTGAAGCAGAGTGCGTCGAAAGGAAGCAAGGATGCTACATCTACAGTGTCTCCATCTTCAGACAAACCGATGGACAAATACATTGACTTGGACTTTCTTTTAAACGCTAACCAACTCATGAGCGAGCTGGTCGCCGACTCGAGCCGAGAGGAGGGGACATTAGACACTGCCTCTGAGGCGGAAAGACGATATATTGTCGATTTGGCAAAGTTGTATCGGCTCCGTGTGCGCATGGGGGGAAATAAAGGAGAGCTCCCTGTGGCGTTGATCAAAGGTCGTGAATCTTCCCTACCCCACCCGGGGCAAGTTGATAGTCTGTTGCACAAAATGACCCGTGCTATGGTTATCAAAACGCAAATAGCAAAGTCGAAGGAGCAGTCTGCAAAGAAGCGTAAGCTTAGCAGTAGCAGGCGAAGTATGGCTAGCCCCACTAAGAAGAGAAGAGTTTAAGATGTTTGTATATGGACTTGTTCATAAATTAAAAAGAACGCATACATACCTTTTACAGATTTGGATGTTTCAGACTGCGTAAGTTCAAGCTGGAAGCAAGCGAAGAAAAGCCACTTTAAACTGTCCATCGACTAGATTACAAACTGATGATAAACACCGAACCTCGATGTAAAGCGGGTGTGTATTCTCGCAAACCAGGATCTTATGGTCGATTTACCCTGCACACATTTTGCCTAAAACTGTCGTATTCAACCTGCTTACAACTTGAGTTGTACTGTGTAAATCAAACACTCATTAATAGTTCATAAGCTTATTGGCAAATCATGTCAACTATAATATATGTCACGTGCAGTGGCTTTTAACCTGATAAAACACTCCTAATTAGTATTCTTTATATAAAGAATACTAATAAGGCAGTATCTATTGTAGTCGTGTCCTCATTAGTATTCTTTATATAAAGAATACTAATAAGGCAGTATATCTATTGAATTTGTAGTCGTGTTTGAAGCCGTTTAATAAACTCGCAGGTCCTGTTTTATTAGGTCTAAAGCCACTCGCGCTGCGCGCTCGTGGCAGTTTAAACCTAATAAAAAACACTCCTGCTCGTTTATTAAACAGTACATCAAGCACACAATTCTCCTATGTTGTCGTAGAGGAGTTGTGTGCTTGATCTACACAGTACCAGTGAGCTCCATATATATCTGGAGCAGGAACTTGGTTGCTCAAAGTGAAGCCAGTTTCGTGTTAACCGCGCATACAAAAACAATAGAAAGGGACTGGAACTGACGTCCAAGAGCTCCTTCAATTTCCGCCATCTTGGCAAGGAGTGTGTTGAAATTTCGTATTTTGACTTCGATTTAAAGAATAATATTGTGATTTTATGAACTAAAAACTTGATTAGTGATACGGTCCATTAGAAAAAACTGGAATTAGCTGGGGAAAATGGTATAAAAACTGTTTACCGACCTTCAGAGCTATTGGACGTCAATGGCCGCCATCTTGGCTTCACTTTTCTCATTGACCGAATGACTGAAGTTCTTACTCCATATATATATAGAGCTCACTGCACAGTACAACTCAAGTTGTAAGCAGGTTTTGCATGCGACAGTTTTAGGCAAAACTTGTGGAGTGTAAATCGTCCTTGAGCAAAAGCATTCGTAGCTTGTTGAGAAGTTAGCCTAAAACAAGAGCATTGTTACAATTTGTTGCTTGTTACACACTTGTTCACAAGATTTCTATACAGATACGCATTAAAGACGCTATATGTAGATAAAACATTTAGAGAGTTTTAAAACAAACATTCGAGTTGACTATTTAAGATGTTCCTATTGCAGGGTGTTTTTTCAGAGTGTTTGACATTTTTTGCTGTAATATAGGGTAGTGAAAACCATCTAGGGTTTTGTATTTTAACGCTTGTTTATTGCATTTTGCTTTTATATAATGTAAGTAGTTGTTATAAAGAAATAAAGTATCTTATGACTTATATACGACCTTTCTCTTACAATTAATTTTGCGAAATAATCTGCTTGCTCCTCTAAATATCGACAGCTGATCATCATCTACTGGTAGCCCCGTAACACTTACCCAAGCTATTCTTGGGTTTCATATGACGTCACAAAAGTGCCGGGGGGTCAACTCTAAAACAAAACACAGTTATCAGAGATTCAGAGCGAGTCGATTGTTCATTTTATGTATTAGCCTTGTGTTTGGTAATACGTGGAATTTCGTATCATTTTCTCACTCCAGTACAGCATAAGCATCAATAACTTAGTTTGAGCACAGAATAGGAAGTTATACCAGAAGCGTAACTCGAGCAAATATTTGTCCGCGTTTTTACAAGCGATTCGTCATCAATCACGCCATCCTGGCTAGTACAACCGGCACTTTGTACCTACCAAATCCTGATAAAAACTTCCGGCTGTACTAGCCAGGATGGCGTGGCCTGACGTGAGCGAGTTAAAATTTTCGTGGACGTCAAACAATAAGGGAAACGACTAGAGTTACGCTTCTGGTATAACTTCCTATTCTGTGGTTTGAGGTTCACCCCCGTCAGATTCACTGCATAATGCCGTAGTGAAAGCGAAGAATTCAAGACATGGTCTAGAAACTGGCAAACTTCAAAACGGTCTATAATGAGCTACGATTTTATGTTGAGACGGTTTCATCGTGCACAAATCTATTGAAATTTTGCTTGTTATTAGAGAGGTTCAAATTTTACTATACTACTTTACTAGCTACACTCCAAAAATACAGTGGTTAAAAATTTACTGGTTACTTTAACCAGTCCTGGTTAATTTGATCAGTCTTGGCTGATTTAGCCAAGCTACATGGTTGAATTAATCAGATTATGTTAGGCCGGTACTACACAGAAGTCCATCTCCACTGTTTTTTGCGTAAGCGCTTTTCGTCATGATTCGTCACTCGGCAAGTACCGTAAACAGAAGCAGTCACCCCCCTGGACGTACGCCATTTTGAGCTTTTTCAGGGGGGGACTGCTTCTATTTACGATACTTGCAGAGTTACGAATCATGACGAATAGCACTTACGCAAAAACCAATGAAGATGGACTTTTGTATAGTATTCTGTGCTTCAGCTCTTTCACATATTTGACGCCTATCACCATATATTTTGTCACTCCAAACGATCCCAGAATGCACTGTGATCTCTTTTGGGAAAAGGCTAATTAAGGTATGGGCAAATATCAAGATTTTTGGGCATGTTGCTGGATAGAACAGGCGAAGGATTTTTTTAGATAGAAATGTCGAACAGAAGATTATCTACAATTTTCAGACCCAACCCAGGAAGTTGCGAAAAATGCAAAAAAAAATTATCATGCTGAAACCCATACCAGGCCATTCGATAAAATAACCTAACATATATTTTCATAATTTATCTATTTAAAAATTTTTATAAACATATATAAACAACGTAATTTTTTTACCCAAAATAACAATTGGCAATTTCCCAATCGAGCAGAGGACTGGGTCTAGTCGCTTGTTTGGAGGGGGAAAAACAATATGCCGAATATGGCACCTAGGAAGTTTTCCTACCTTCGTAAAGTCATTTGTGCAGCCTGAAATGCAACAATTATAATAAGGCATCTTTTAATATATATTTATAGCTCGCTCACTATAACTTGTTGTCCCACCAGAGCCGGAGCTACGGGGGGGGGAGGGGGGGGGTGACACCCCCCAGAAATCGTATTCAGTCGGCAGGACAGAACTGCTATTTGGGTTAAATATTTAAAAATTTTAGTACGTCCGGAAAGGTTTTTGAACCCCTAAAATGGTACACTGACCGAAATTTTTTTGGCAACGGGGGGTCGCCAAAAACAATTTGTTCCAGAAAAAATTTTTTCGGCACTAGTGACTAGTCGGTTGAAATGACCTTACACCCCTCCTGAAGAATTCCCTGAGGACGGCCCTGTGTCCCTCCAAACATAAACTAGACCCAGTCCTCTGCTCGATTGGGAAATGGCTAATTTACGTGATCTGGGCTACTGATTTATAAAGGCCAACGAGCTAACTTGTTTTATGACTAACAGTTCATATCTGAAAACATTTGAAATTTCAATATTCTCTGTATATATATAATATAAATAAATATGACACGCTACATTTTCTGTAGAATGTCTTAAATACATCGCTGGTTAGGTACATGACTACAGGTTTGAACTATGGGACTTCGCTGTTGAGTAAAGACCAAAAATGCCAAATTCTGATGCATAGAACTCTTACCCAGTCCTTTCAGCCGTCGTTGCAGGTGGCGACAGATGCTGTTCGATCATATTATTTTCAAGGGAAGAGTGGGATTAGAAATCTACGGGAGGCTACTTTTTCTATAGCCTGAATAAGGTGACAGGGAGGGCCGGATAATGTCTTTGGTTGCTCATTCCGGGAGGACTATAATGTCTTTGGTTGCTCATTCCGAGAGGACTGTGATGGTTTTTGGAGTACCTTCAAATCCAAATTGTTTTACCATTAAAGGTGGCAGAAAGATCTTAGATACCCCTCAACAATCAATACACATCCCATAGGCTTCCGCGACTACCATATACACTCCTGATAATCAACACATATCCCTATACCACCGTATTATTGGTAGCATTGCTGATGATGGTCGATCGACGTTTTTGTGTAGCTCTGGAATTAAGGCGACCAGAACTGGCCCGAGGCGGCCCCGTTTCATCGTCCATTAGAGTTTCCAGTAAGATATGATCGTCAGGATCCATGGGCATGACTGAGATATCCCTAACCGCGCGGAACTCACCGCAATTGTTCAAGTGTTCGTTTTCGAGTCGAAAGAAATTCCACACAAAACGTCTAGAAAGAAGAATAGATAGTTGGAAAGCCCCCGTCAAACGAGAATAGAGAGTTTAAGCTTCGCGTTATACGTCAAACGGCAAAAGCCAGGCAAAGAAAAATTTTACGGTATCAGGCAATAAAGAGTAAGTGAACTTGCTGTTTTAAAACTGAAATACATAATTATTCTTTCGACGCAAGAAAGAAAATATGAGACGAAAACGTTCAACGAAAATTTTGCCAAGAAAGTTCGAACCTGCTGTTTGCCGTTCCCGGAAAGGTGAAGCTTAAACTCTCTAATGAGAGTTAACGAGAGATTTGCAACTCTCGCTTGCATTTGACTACCAACTCTCATGCACTCTCATACAACTCTTGTTCTCGTTTGACCGGGGCATGAGAGTTGAGAAAACTCTCATGCAAACTCTCACTTCTCAACTCTCATCAACTCTCATGCAACTCTTGTTCTCGTTTGACCGGGGCACGAGAGTTGAGAAAACTCTCACGCAAACTCTCACTTATCAACTCTCATCAACTCTCATGCAACTCTTGTTCTCGTTTGACTGGGGCATGAGAGTTGAGAAAACTCTCATGCAAACTCTCGCTTCTCAACTCTCATCAACTCTCATGCAACTCTTGTTCTCGTTTGACCGGGGCATGAGAGTTGAGAAAACTCTCACGCAAACTCTCGCTTATCAACTCTCATGTAACTCTCATCAACTCTTATGCAACTCTTGTTCTCGTTTGACCGGGGTATGAGAGTTGAGGAAACTGGGGCAAGCCATCAGCATGAAATGACATTTTATTTAGCACCTACCTAAATACCTCACAAACAGCAAGAATTGTGATCATTAACTCTCGATGTACTCCCCCAGAATATCCGACGGATACATTTAATGTCCAAATAAAACGAAATATGAAGTCTTCAAAAATTGCAAAGTAATAAAAAGCCTATAGAAAAAGATGTTTGGAATGAGCAATTTTAGGCTGACCTAGTAAGCGGATACTTTATTGATATATAGCAACAATCATGTCAACCTTACCTTATAAGGGTAGACAGTTTCTTCACGCAATAACGTATTGTCACTGAGATTCCGTTCCAGTAAACCCCAATCCATTTTGAGATCCCACGTTAGTGTATAACACGTGCCAATGAATGCACTGATTATCCATAATATAAAAAATACTCCTTTATATGAACTATTATTATCTGCAAGTGAAAGAAAATTAGACTCAGGAAAGAGACGGATTAAACTAAACCAACTCTACAACTGCATTAAAACTGGTTTACACTATCAAAGTTTCTGTGATCACAGTAGGAATTTTGCATAGGTAAATTGAAGTTTTGAAGGATTTGTAAGAAATGTTTGATGGAACTGTTAAACACTGAGTCAGTCCCCTCAAACATTTCTTACAAATCCTTCAAAACTTAGAATTTACCGATGAAAAATTCCTACTGTGATCACAGAAGCTTTGATAGTGTAAACCTGCCTTTAGAATACCCACTAGGACATCAATACTCACAAGAAATCCTAGCATTTACCTTTTTCCATGGCGGCAAGAGTAGAAAATAGAACTACAAAAAACGTCGTAGAATATTTGCCAGCATTTACAAGATGCGGAAAGACATGTTTAGTATCGCGATATCTTCTCAGGCATTGCGCGAAACGAAACCAGGCTGGCAGACAGAGAACTAACGATCTTATACCATATATATTCGTGGCACACTTATCTGGAATGTAAAGTGTTAGGGATGATTAGTAGAATATACGTAATGGTAATAACTTTAGTGATGTGATTTATTGACAGGTCACGACTGTCATCACTACTTCATAAAAACCATCATCGCCATCATCATAACTCTCACCTTCATCACTAAATTACCACCAGCACCATCATCATCATCACCATCATCATCATCACCATCATCATCATCACCATCATCATCATCATCATCATCATCATCACCATCATCATCACCATCATCATCACCATCATCATCATCATCATCACCATCATCATCATCACCATCACCATCATCACCATCATCATTACCATCATCATCACCATCATCATCACCATCATCATCACCATCACCATCATCATAACTCTCACCTTCATCACTAAATTACCACCAGCACCATCATCATCACCATCATCATCACCATCATCATCACCATCATCATCACCATCACCACCATCATCACCATCATCATCACCATCATCATCACCATCATCATCACCATCATCATCACCATCATCATTACCATCATTACCATCATCACCATCGTCATTACCATCATCACTACCACCACTACCATGATCAGCACCACCATTATCACCATCATCATCATCACCAAGGCCGGATTTTGGTGAAAATAGTGGGGGAGGTGGAAAAAATTTTAGGGGAGGTGCAGCAGTCTAGCTCACGACCTTCATGGAAAGTTGGGGCTTAGAACGGGCCAAAGTCAACACGTGACGTATGCATGTAGCAGGGCTGCAAATTACTGTCGGACATCGGACAATGTCCGACTAAATTTGGCAAATGTCCGAGCAAAAGTAATTTTGATCGGACATTGGTCAGATCACAAAAAAATTGTCACATTATACATTTTTTTTGCCGTGACAAAATCCGATTGCAAATTCACTCAATTTGCATTTTGCAATAGAATTTACGAGGCATTCTAGCATTTTACTTAACGTTGCGCCGGAATGGCTATACATACTTGTCTCGTGACTTATATATATCTTGTGACGTATATATGTCCGACCAAATTTAGTGGTGTACGTTGGTTTTTGTCCGACCAAATTCAAATAATGTCCGACCAGAATTAAAAGTGATCAGACAAATGTTCAGTCAAGTCAAATATTTATTTGCAGCCCTGATGTAGTGTACATATGTATCAGTGTATTAATGAATTATGACTGCACAACTCATTACAATTACTACAAAGATTCTTTCAAAATATTGCATTAACAGGATACTTTACACAG